GGCTGAGGCAGATCAGTTGCTGGCCATTGAACAGCTGCTTATGCTGGCTACCAGCCACTCACGGAAGCTTATGGCAGCTCACTGCAGCCCCACTGCAGCCTACACCATCGCCAGCAACTCAAGGCAGCCCAGCTCCAGGTTGAGCTGTTGTTCACCATCTTAGCTATAGAGGGCGCAGTGTCACTGGCTCATGTGGGATCCAAACCGGCGGCCCTGCTGCTCAGCGCTCAAGCTCCCAAGCCAACTCTTAACCAACGAGCTATTCGGCCGGCCCTAAACTAGCTTTCTTTTCTGAGAATATTTTTTAATCAGTTTACCTTAGACTGAAGTACTCTGGATGAACTGATAAAATGGAGCCTTTGAAAATGCAAAAGTGACAAACTCTGGATTCTGATAAGCCAATTGTGTTTCTTGTAGAAATCTTGGAAAATATACAAAAACATATGGATGAAATAAAAATCACCTGTGCCCCACTACGTAGAGGAAATTACTACAAATATTTTGGTCTATATTCATTTAGTCTTTTATTTTTGTATATATATTTTTTGTTTTTGTTTTTGTTTTGTTTTTTTTAGCTGAGCCATCCTGCTACCTGTTGGCAGCTCAGCAGCTGCTCAGCTCGGGCCGGGCATCAAACCACTGTTGCTCAGAGCTCAAACTCTTGAGTGAGCTCTTAACCAACTGAGCCACTCGGCCAGCCCTTATATATATTTTTAAATAAACGCATATCAGTACTCACTTCAGTTCTTTATAGAACTGAGATCTCACCCTAATATGGTTCTGTTTGTTTTTTACTAAATGCTGTATTGTGAACATTTTTCTTAATATTAAATGAATTTCAAGAACATGATTTTTATGACCATGTTGTATTTCATCTTCTCTGTTTTGAGGTGACACCCTTAAATTCAAAACCAAGGCCTATGCAAAATAAAACTAATGTTAGTTTTACATGTAATATTTTGATAATGAAAGACAAAAAAGCCAGCTGTATGCTAATAACATTAAGAACTTCAAAAAGGAAAATGGAGGCAATTATCCAAGTGATTTAGAAAAAAAAAAGTTTTGAAAATGTTTTCTGACAAAGCTATTGCATCATTTTTTTGTTTTTTAGCTGTAGCCTTGCATAGAAATATCTTTCCACTGCTTCCCAAGGTTTTAGGTGTCAATGCTGTAACATTTTAAAGATTTTTTTTAAAAAACCTAACAGCTGTTTCAACATAAAAGATAGTAAAGAAACTTTTTTATTGGATGAATGTAACACAAAATGAAAGTCTAATCTTTATTTTAATACAGAAATTTCACAGATGATTGAAAGAATCAACTCTTTGAGAAAGAGAGAAGGATGAGAGTCAGAGAACAAGTGGTAAAATTCACTCCCATAGGACACCTTTTCCACTGGAACAAAAATGATAGAGGCAAGAGAAAATGGGTACAGATTTGACCCTGAAGTTGAGGCATTCCCCATGGCTTTTGTTTTCGAAATGTGAAGGAGTCACTAGCTGAAAATAGGGGATGGTGGGGGAAAGGGATGTGATTTATGGAGAAGAGTGATTTATGGAGAGAAGCGAAAGTGAATAATCCATTGGATGAATAGCTTTCCCAGCCAGTGTTGAGGGCACCTATGAGGCCTGAGGTCTTGAATTAAAACCAATCAGCCCTGTTGAATGATTTTTCTCCAGGAATATTTGCTACTTGGTTGCAAGCAATGAGAAAATTTGTTCCAGCAGGGTTAGGTCCAAGCAAGGCTGAGGTTCTTCCAAGTAAGAAAGATAGACATTGGGATAAGAGAGTTGAACCCCTTTGCAAAATAGCGATTATAAGAATTGATCAGGAAATCTAAGTCAGGTGAGTTGGAAACGATTATATGATGGCAGAAGCATGATAATAGATTGTTTTGAAAGTGTTGGGGTTAATAGATTGGAGATCTGAATTAAGTCAGTGAGAGTACAAAAAATGAGCAGAGGGAAAAGGCTAGTGATTGACAATTGGGATGCCTGAAATTGAGATTTAGAAGGTAAAACAGTTATTGATGACAAGATTCAGTCTTAACAACTGGAGTGGATGGATGAGAGAATAGAGGAATAAGTTGTTGGAGATGAAGAGGTCAAAGATCTAAGAGGTCAAGTGTTAGTATTACATGGGTCATCTATAATATTGTTGAATTCACACACAATGTAGACTAGAGGGATGGTGAGGAAAACCCAGAGCAAGGAGCAACAGTCTACAATTTCTGAGAGAGAGTGGCCAGGAGGTAGGTGGTAAAGAGTGATTTAGCCAGATGATATGAACTGCGAACTTCATATGTTTTTGAAGGAGGAAAGAAAAGAAATGGTTTGGAAGTAGTAATCAGGAACAAAGAGACCACATAAGCTCTTTAGACCCAACTTCTTTGCCTTAAGGTTCATAGAGTATAAGAAAAAAATAGCCTCTACTTTGGAGATCTACAGGAGAGTCAAAAGAAAAAAATTACCTTCATGACTAAGAATGGTGGTGCTAGGGATATACCTGGGTGCATCTATAATGATAGCAAGTCTGAATTTGATAACTCATGATTTTGTGGATAAAGTAGAAAGGCAACCTCACTGATAACTTCTGACATCAACCATGTCTCCTAAGAAATGTGTAATCTGCAAGTTACCTCTGGGATAAGAAAAGGAGAATAAAAAGATGTTTTTGCTCAGGGAACATGTATTTCAGGCATCTAGAATGCAGTTCTTTGTGAATTACCTTTAATGTTGGCCTGTAGGGCTAGTACTGTCTCTACTTGAAATAACTTTCAAACTCTATACGTGATTTTTTTTTGCTTGTGGTAAAAGTGGGATGAATTATTGTCTCTTTAAGTATTATACTGCTGGGAAAATTTCTAGTGCAAAGGCCCTATGACAAAAGCAGTTCCCATGCAGCATGGGATGACTCACTTAGGTGGCTCTGTGACTCTTGTGTTGTACTCTACTCACATCACATTAAGGTAGAAGAATATTATCTTCAAGGGTCAGTCGATGGCACCTCCTCTACGGGTCCACTTCAGGGACCTAGCTGCCCAGGTATCTTAAGACCATAGGGCAGCTGTCAGAGCCTGGAAACACTTCCAGTCAGATCAAATCTAGCCCTGGTAATTCTGACCCTTTTCAGTTAGAGTAGTGAAATCTATCTTTTAAAAACTATTACTACAGTTAAGCCAATGCCAAAATCTTCAACTACCAAGGTAATGATTTAATAGGATAACTTGCAGAGATTATGATCAGGACTTTGTTGCTCTGCCTATTATAATTTGAGACTATTCTGGAAGAAATAACTGAACTGTGTCAGGCACACTGCAGATTGGGACCATCACACACGCATTAATTACATTTGTGAGGTTACCAGTCACTGCAAAATCATGGTCCTTTGCCAGTCTGCTTAGTTCCCCTCTGAAGATAAAGACACTGGCCTATGTGTTCAGCGAAGCTGAGGGTTGGGGAGGATGAGGTAACTTATATAAGGCAGCCTCAAACATCTACAAAACAACTTGCTAACTAAAATACTATTTTTAATTTGTATTACTGAGCTTAATACTTTGCTTAAATATATGTAAATTCTGAGATTTTTAGAAAAGAATTAATATATAAAATTGCCTCTAGGAAAGTAATCCATCATTAAAAGAAATATGTCTCCTCAATTTGAACAAAATAAAATGGCTTAATTCATAGGTAACATTTTTAGTGAAGGCGTTTGTTTTAAATTTTCTCGGGAAAAGAAAAAAACTCACAAATTTACTCGAACTTAGCCACGCAGAAATCAGATAAAATTTAAAAAATTATTTTTAAGGAGATTATAAAGTATAGTTTGAAGGTCAGAATCTGGGGAAATAATGATTAAGACACTCTAAATCCAAGGTCTGCCTCTCCTTTCCTGGAAGAAAACGTCTTGAAACATAAATTATTAAAAAATATAAATTTTTATCATCAATAATATTTGTTTCAGGAAGACATTTTAATTGTAGTAAATTTCTGAAACTCTACAAGGTTTTAATTTCAATCAGTAACATAGATTTGATTAGGGTTCCTGGACTAATTACAGGACGCAGGATTTCCCGTATGATTAAAATCCAGTATGTATGTCATCTTTAGTTGCTCATCCAGGCATTCCTAAATGTTTCCTTTCATTTTGTTGTATCATTAAACATTAGGTTTGAATAAATTATGGCAAGATACTTACTTACAGGTGGAGAAATCTAACCCAGGGAAAGCTCTCAACAAAAATTCAGTTGAGCCCTAACTAGCTGTTCAAATGAAGTAATTTAGAAATGCCCTCAACCTTTAGGGTAAGAAGCAAGCGGAACATTTGACAATACAATTTCGTCGCAAATTCAAGGGCACTTTAAAGTGCCCAGTAGTCGAGAGGTCCGGCTTTTCCTCAATTTCGGGAACAAAAGAAGCGTTCACAAGCAGAGACGGGGCTTTAAATGCCGGCTCTCCCCTTCCCTCCCCCGAAAGTAAATCAAATTAAGGAAGATGAGTGCCTACAAACACGCCTCGCTTGTTTTCCTTCCTTTCAGGGCTAGCATTTGGGGAAGGAAAGGCTGCGGCTATTCTTCGGTGGATCAGTGTCCTGAGATTGAGAAAGGCCCAGCGCGGATCCTCGTAGCTGGTGTGCAACTTGGCCCGTTCGTAGGCGATCGACCCCGGGGAGGAAGGCTGCTTCTTAAGCAGGGAGGGAGAGGAAATCGCGCACAAAAGCAGTACGACTTGTCCCTTATCAGCGTCTAAGGGGAAGGGTGGAGAATAGGGTAACAGAAACGGGCCGGCGCCGGGGATCCCGCCCGAGAGGCTTTTAAACTGCGTTTCTACAACCTCTCGCAGGGCGCCGCGGCTAATGGAACCCGCGCGAGGCGTCCCGCCAATCGCCGTCGCGCTTCCTCCCGCCGCCGGCCAATGGCGGCGCGTGTTCTTGGGGCGTGGGCGAAGCAGGCTGCTCTCCTTGGCTGTAGTGTGTGGGCTGGGGTTGGTGCGGGCTCCTATCTTGGCTGCACTTGGTCCGTAGTTCGGCTACGGGGGCTTTTGTGTCCAGCGTTTGCTTTTTTTTTGCTTTGCTTTGTGTGCGTTTTTTCTTTTTCTTTTTTTTTTTTGCTCCGCGGTGTTGCTCCCGGCTGGGAGCCCGGAGGCTCGGAGGCGGCAGCGAGGCCCCCCCCGGGCGAGGAGCGAGCGCGCCGGCGTGAGCGGCGGGTGTGAGGGTTGCGGGGAAGGGGATACGTCGCCGAGATGCCGGAGTTTCTGGAAGACCCCTCAGTCCTGACGAAAGAGAAGTTAAAGAGTGAGTTGGTGGCCAACAATGTGACGCTGCCGGCCGGGGAGCAACGCAAAGACGTGTACGTGCAGCTGTACCTGCAGCACCTCACGGCGCGCAACCGGCTGCCGCTCGCCGCCGGCGCCAACAGCAAGGGGCCCCCGGACTTCTCCAGCGACGAGGAGCGCGAGCCCACCCCGGTCCTCGGCTCCGGGGCCGCCGCCGCGGGCCGCAGCCGAGCCAGCGTCGGCAGGGTAAGGACGCTCGGCCGGGGTCACAAAGGCGGGCGTTTAGCGGTTGTCGCTCCCCGCGCGCTCGCAGCCCTCCCTCCTTGGCGCCCCCTCGGGCCTCCTCGGCGGTGGGGTTGTCCCCGCGCCGCACTAGATGGCTGGCCTCTGGGTCGGCGGACGCTGGATTCGGGTCCTTCGTCGCGGGCTTGCAGGGGAGGGCGCTGGAGAGAGGAGAGTCCCAAAGTTGGGGACGCAGGGCTGGCGGCTTCGCCGTGTGTGTCTGGGAGGTGTGAAGTTGGCGTGTGCTCTGAGGTTAAGCGTGGGTGACGGGCTCGCGCGGGTGGTTGGGTGTTCCTTGAGCTGCGGCTGCCAGGAGTGGATATTCGGACTGGGACTTCGTGCCCTTTTTGAAAGCTCTAAAGAGGAGTCAGCCCGAAACTGCTATAGGTTACATTGGAGCGTTTTCCCGCTTTCTTAACCGAAATGACTGGTAACCGAGTCTCAGAGCGCTCCCTGGAGGGCAATTTGTGCATACTAATTTCTAACCAAAATTTGAAATAAATTCCCGCCTTTTTATGGGTTCCCCCCCCCCCAATCTGGAGGGCTTTTTGAACCGTTTATGTTTTTCTTGTTTGCGTTACTCTTTTCCACAACAGGACATCTTTTGATGGGTCAGCTTTGTAACAAATTAAAAGAAGCATTTAAAAATACACCATTAAGCGGTTTTCATAGATGCTCAAATGTTTGAAAATTCTACTTACTAGAGGCTTGGGTTTTTGGATATTTTTCCTTTTTGGTAAATTTTGCATGAGGAAGGGAAAAGCTTCAGAATCAGGAGAATTGTTTATTTCATGACATTTTTATATGTCCGTATCGCAATTTGGAATATCTAATCCCGGATAAATCTCAAATTGGCTCCAACAAATATGTATTTTGTTTGAGAATAGTTTTTTGTTTTGTTTTGTATTGTTTTGTTCTGTGGGTTTCTATATGCTATTTTACTGCTATGAATCTGCCTAGTTACCAGACTTCAAATCCTAACAAAGTGTAGTAAAAAGTGATTTGGTGTAACGTACAATGAATGCTTTGTAAAACACTGAATGTAGAGTTTGGACTTGTTGCTACTGATTACTAGTATAACTCAAAAACAAAAAATACTGCTTCTTTCAAAGTTATGTTGTTTAACTTTAGTTTTAAAAAATCTACCTGATATGCTTTCTGGACTACCTAGGTGGAAATGAACGATGTAATAGACACATATAAATTTAATTAAATCTTAGCCCAGGCTTTAGCGAATTGAAAATCTTACGGTTTAAGTTGGTGTCTGGCACATAGTAGTGCCAAATAAATATTTGCTCAGTAAATAAAAGGCCACCCGCACCTTATTGTTTCTGATGTCTTGTTTTTTTGTGGACTTAGAGCAAGCCACTTGATGTCCCTCTAATAACTGACACTTATTTGCATTCCCCTCCCCTTCTTTTGTGTTTTTTGTCACCTGAGGAAATACATTTGATGAGTGCTGGAAACTTTTTAAGTGGTTTAAAATTTGTTTTCATTGTTCCCAGTGGGTCATGGACAGCAAAGATTCATTGCACTTATGAACAAGAAACCTTTTTTTCAATTTTTGTGTAATTTACAAGTGCTGATGCAAGCCTCTTTCAGGTCAAGAAAATAAATGTTTACAAATATAAAAAAATAAAGCCACTTGACTCCTCCATAATAAATAGAAATTTACTTTTGAAGTAAAGCATAGCCCTTGTTTTTCCCCAAATCCCTCTTGAAAAAGTAATATTCAAACTATATGTTTCAGTAAAGGTTTATTGAAAGTGAAATATTTTCCATTTAAATTAGCACACTTGAAAAAACATCTTTAGAAACCTGTATTGGTCTTCTGTGCACACATTTTATTCTTGAGCCGTGAAAGTATTTGGTTGTATGTTTATAATAGGATTATTCATTCTTATTTATTTTGATGTTGATTTCATTTTCGATGGAAACATCCATTTGGGTTTTGATCTTTTTCCTGCAGCAACTTTTTAAAAGTATGTCCCAATCTATCCAGTGTTCTTTGGGTTGTAAGAAGACCTGAATGTAAAAATTTAAAATTTTAAATCGGTTATTCAATGTTTTTAGTTTCTACCATCTGCTCTTGACTACTGGATATGGATTTCTGCAGACCCCACCCACCACCATAATAATTTAATGGGTTTTCTTGTATAATTGATTGTGTTTATTACTCATCTCAACAAATTCCCCATGTCATCCAAGATGTTTAGCACTATGCAAATAAGCTCTGAGTGAAAGGAATTAACCTTTTAAGAGAATGTACTATGTCCAGTGGCATGCTAAGCCCTTTAAAATCTCATTAAATATTTGGATACATATAGAGAAATACTATTTCATAGCCATAGATTAAAGACTTCTCTACCATGAGTGTTTAAAACTCAAAAATGTGTACCCTTGGCTAGGCTCAATGGTGTCAACAATTTGAAAGAGTTAAAAGTCGGTCAGTAGCATCATTTTCTGTTTTAAAGCACATTAAGTAAAAGGTGAGTTATAATTTAACTTAGGAGTGTGAGAAGCATTTTATCAGACATAGGAAAAATATCTTGACTTTACAAGAAAAGAACCTAAGGCATTTATAATAAAATTCTCTGTGGAACATTCCTTTTATGTATACAATATTTTATATTCTAGTCATTGTTAGTACCATGTATAATAACTGTATATTCACATTTCTTAAAGAGTATTTATAGGGCCGGCTGAGTGGCTCAGCTGGTTAAGAGCTTGCTTGGGAGCGCCAGCTCTGAGCAGCAGGGCTGTGGCTCGGATTCCACATTGAGGGCCAGTGACACTGCCCTCTACAGCTAAGATGATGAACAACAGCTTGACCTGGGGCTGGGCTGCTGTGAATCGCCGGCGACAGCATAGGCTGCAGTGGGCTGCCATGAGCTACGTGAGTGGCTGGCAGCCAGTGTGAGCTGCAGGAAGCTGTTGTGAGCTGCCGGGAGTTGGTGTGAGCAGCCAACCAATGACCGGCGACTGATCTGCCTCATCTGGGAAGAGCACAATGATCATACCAACAAGGGCCAGTGAAGCGAAGTCCTCCACTGAACTAGACTGAGGAACAAAAACAGCAATTTGTCTACCTGTCTGTTCCCCTTTCCCAATTAAAATCTTTAAAAAAAACCCCAGTATTTATAACCTAGGAGAAAGCCAAATTATGTTTGAAAGTTGCAGATAAGGCAAAATTTTTAGGTGGGTGAGTTTTTGACATTTTAAAACAAAATCAAATATTAATGTGGATTCCGCCCAAGGCATAGCATATACCTTCTATTTAAACATAGGTTTCTAAGCAGTGTTCTTTTTTGTTTTTAAAGATTTTATTGGGGAGTTGGGGGAGGGAACAGTGTTGGGCAATCGGGGAAGGGGAACAGACAAGTTGTTCTCCTTTTGTTCTTCAGTCTAGTTGTGGAGGACGTTGCTTCACTGGCCCATGTTGGTATTGTGATCATTGCGCTCTTCCTGGCCGAGGCAGATCAGTTGCCGGCCATTGGACAGCTGCTCAGGGCTGCTCAGGGCAGCTAACAGCCAGCTGTTGGCCGCTCACGGTAGTTTAAGGCAGCCCGCTGCAGACCCCCTGCAGCCTACGCTATCACCGGTGACTCACGGCAGCCCAGCTCCAGGTTGAGCTGTTGTTCACCATCTTAGCTGGAGAGGGCAGCGTCACTGTCCCATATGGGATCAGAACTGGTGGCCCCTCTGCTCAGAGCTCGCCCTCCGAAGCCAACTCTTAACCAACGAGCCACTTGGCCAGCCTGAGGAATGCTTTTAATTAAAGGAGAGTTTCATTTCAGTCATTGTCATGGTCTCTTAAATTCATTTGGTATAATATGCCAAAAAATAGTTTGCATATTCAAATTTTGGTTTTGGTTTTTAGTTTTCTTATTTCTGAGCTTTTTATGTTATATGTCTTGGTGATACCAGTAATTTTAGATGTTGAGATTATCTAGATTATCAACACAAAATAAACATTTACAGAGTTGGCAATCTCTGCCTTTTCCTTCCAAGGTGCAAAGCAGTGTAGCTTTTTGGAATCCAGTGGAGCAAAACATTCTTGCGTGGTCTGATCTTATGGATTATAAATTCTTAACAGGAAATATTTAAAGGCATGGAACAAAAACAGAAAAAGTTAATGTTAGTGATGTAAATGTTAATTAGGAATTGGCCGTCATACTCTACAGTAAGGTATTAAGTGCCCAGGCTTCTGAATCGGTTATAGATTCAAATTCCAGGTCTCCCCCTTATTGGCCTTGAAAAATGAAAAGTGCCTATCAACTGCTCAATTTTCATTTGGAAAATAGGAATACTCTAATAGCTACTTAATTAGATGAGGATTACGGTAGGTTGCATTTGCATCTGTGAAAGTGTCTAGTGCTTTTTTGTTTTTAGTGCCAAATCAGTACAGTGTTAACCATAATACATTCTTCAGAATTGGAAGAGGTAATTTGTAAAAGTGATGTGTACATAAAGTCTGTTCAGATGTTACTATATAGCATAGGATGCAGATTGCCTGAGTTAGCTGTGCAGCTTTTGACTTCAGTTTTCTCTCTTGTAAAATGGGGATATTAGCAGCTATCTCATAGGATTTTTAGGATTGTTAAGTTAATACATATAAGACACTTAGAATACAATTTGGTAAGTAATAAGGGCTCACTAGAATGTATTTTGTAACAATAATTATTGTTATACTTCATCTTTGCTACTAATGGTAGAGATTAAAAAAGAGTAGGCCATAGGTGGTATCATGTAACTGTTGAATTTTAAAGTTGAAAAATATAAGATATCATCTGGTAGTTGGGAATAAACTGGAGAGCAGTGTCTGGCACATAAGTACCGTATTTCCCCATGTATAAGACACACCCTTTTAAAAAAAATTTGGGTCTAAAAACTGGGTGCGTCTCACACAGTGGTGGTAGATTATTTTTACTTGCATTTCCTGCTTTTTTCGCGCTTGTTTTTTGCGCTCATGCAACCACTGTATAAGACACACCCAGTTTTTAGACCCCAAATTTTTCAAAAAAGGGTGCGTCTTACACATGGGGAAATGGTAGGTACTGAGTATTTTTAACTGAATGAAAGTAAGATTACATGATTTACTTAAAGGAACAGCTTTATGGAGGCAGGAATCAGTAAAATTAATGGTTCCTTATTTAAACTGCTAGCTTGATAATTATGTGTGCCACACTACTTGTCACCCAATTTTTATTCCTATTAAATTGGATATTTCACAAAATGGCATTACTTTGCTGGGACTTTTCTCCCTACAAATTAAAAATAAAATCAAGTAGCTTGTTATGAACCCCGGCTCTATTTGACTTACTTTATTCCAATTTATTGACCTTGTAAGATTACTTGGTGCAGCTGTAGTTTTTCATTATGTTTTATGAAAACATAAGAGAGTTGGTTTCCTGCTTCGATTTGATAAGCCTTTGTTATTAATAAGAAATGGATTTTTAAAAATAAGTGGCTTTTCCCTCCCCAGATGGCACTTTCATTCATTTATTCATTCAACAAAACATCTGTTGGGTGCCCTTTCCTGTGTCAGGCACTCTTTATTTTAGGTGCTTGGGACACAAATATGAATATGACATAGTTCTTGCTTTCTGCCATCTTTTTTTTTTTTTTTAGCTGAGCCATCCTGCCACCTGTTGGCAGCTCAGCAGCAGTTCAGCTTGGGCTGTGAATCGAACTGGCGACCCTGTTGCTCAGAGCTCGCACTCTTGAACAAGCTCTTAACCACCTGAGCCACTCGGCCGGCCCACTGCCATCTTCTTAAACGCTGCATCCAAAATTCCCTGAGATACACATTAAAATACAGATTCTCAGACCCAACAGTAGGACTCAGAATGGGATAAGACTTTTTCAAATAGAGGTAACTTTTCCAAAAGTTTTGAGGTTTTGATAACAAACCAGACTTAGGGACTATTGCTCAAGGAGTTCACCATCTAGAGAAGATAAAGTATTTTTACAAATAACTAATGCAAAGTAGGTTGAACGTGGTGAGTGCCAAAGAAAGGTTTCTTGAAAACCTCAAACTGTTGCAAGAAGTTGAAATTCCTGGATGTTTGGTTGATAATTAGAGTTTGATTGAACATTCTTCTGGTGGAAGGGATTATCTACAAGTAATGTGTACCTGATTGAATTTTCAGTTGAGTTTTTCTTTCCAACCTGTCCTCACGTTTTGGAAAATTCAAGTATTTCACTTACATTGGGATTAGGTCTTTTTGATTAAAGAAGTCTTTTCTCTAAAGAATCTAAGACTTTAGTATTGGGTTGTCAGAAAAGTCATGACGCATTTTTTCAACAACAACAAAAAAATACGTCATGACTTTTCCGACAACCCAATATATAGAACTCTTAGACTCTATAAGCAACTGTTTTGATAGCAAGGTGTGTGGGTTGCTTCAGGATTTGAGCCTGTCCATCTTAGATCAGTGCAATATGTTTAATAAAGCCTTTTGAAAGTACCATCACTAACTTTTCACAGCCATATTTTTATTAAAGATTTCTCTTTAATTGGCATTCTTATTAGCATGTATCTTTAAAAAATAATTTCTCGTAATCTTTTCTGATGAACTTTCAAATTTTTATTTGGTTAAACAAATTTTAATGCATGGTCAAATAATGCCTGATTTCCCCCCAGGCATCACTGCAAAGTGAACAGTCCATACAACTTGATGATTTTTCCCATTTTGCATAAAATATTGCTAGTATTGACTCTTCTTCCTTAAATAGTACTTTGGGCCTAAATTGGCTTTGATATTTATGGCCATTATCTAAACAGCCAGTTATGTTCAGTGTTCAGAGTCATTTGTAGAGCTATTTGCCACAGCCCTGAAAGGTACCCATACTTCTGCTCCTTACTCCTGTTTAACCTTGCAATTTTATATAGTTTTTTCTAGTAGATAACTGCCATTGCTTTACTCTCAAAGCTTGTTTCATGTTCTTTTAACTATAGTAGTGTTCCCCCTTATCCGTGATTTCAGTTACCTTCAGTCAACCAAACTGTAAATATTAAATTTAAAATTTCAGAAATAAACAATTCATGAGTTTTAAATTGTGTGTTGTTCTGAGTAATGTGACAAAATCTTGCACTGTCCAGCTCTGTCCTACCCAGGACTTTCATTACAGTATATTGTTATAGGTGTTCTATTTTATTATTAGTTATTGTTAATCTCTTACTGTGCCGAATTTGTAAACTTTATCATAGGTATGTATGTATAGCTAAAAATATAGTATATGTAGGGTAGCACTATCCACAGTTTCACACATCCGTTGGGGGCCTTAGGCCATAACCCCTTGGATAAGAAGAGGGCACTACTATATTCTTAATAAAAAGGTCATATTGAACTAAGAATGGCAACAAAGCTGTATCAGAGGAGATATATCTGACTTTATGGGTCAAAAACTGGCTACTAACGGTCACTGCGTTTTGAGAGAAGATTCATTTGGGCTTCTTAAATTATAATTGCTTGTTTAAAGGAAATCTTTTTTTTGTTGTTAAAGATTTTTATTGGGGAAGGGGAACAGCCAAGTTGTTGTCCTTCAGTCTTAGTTGTGGAAGGCGCAGCTAGCTCGGCTCTGAAGTCCAGTCGCCATCCGGCTGCCTGCCGGCAACTCACGGCTGCTCAGCTCAAGGTGCATTGTTCAAGCTTAGTTGCGGGTGGGCGTCACCCACCATCCCATGTGGGAGTCAAACCGGCAACCTTATTGTCCTGTTGGCAGCTCAGCTCGGGCGCAGCTCTCTGGCCCATGTGGGAATCAAACCGGTGACCCTGTTGCTCAGAGCTTGTGCTCTTAACCAACTGAGCCACTTGGCCGGCCCTTAAAGGAAATCATTTTTTTATACATATCTAAGTATAAACCTTTATGGTAAGGTCTTAAACTCCTAGGTTAATTAAAACTTTAAATATTATCAGAAGAAGCCAGTAGTAAATTGTATTTACACTTATATGAATGAAAGTTTAAATCCAGTCTTTGCTCATTTTAATTTTTTATGTTATCACCTCCTCTTTAGACAGGTTAGCCAAAACTTAACTATTTTAACAGTAATATCTTTAAAATTTGAGTTACTTGCTTGCCTATTAGGTTTGTATAATTATAACCAAACTTAGGAAATATCTCCAAACAATGAATTGCTTTTAATTTAATCAAATTGCCAGGGTTTAATATAATTATAAATCAACTTAAAGGTGAATTTGCATGTTTACTGAATACAGTGTTACTTACATAGTAAATTAATTTTTTAAATTCATGTGGAAATGATAACTGGACTTTATTTACAGAAAGCCACAAAGAAAACTGATAAACCCAGACAAGAAGATAAAGATGATGTAGATGTAACAGAGCTCACTAATGAAGACCTTCTGGATCAGCTTGTGAAATATGGAGTGAATCCTGGTCCTATTGTGGGTAAGATGATAAAATATCAAATATCTTTTCTATGAAGCAGTACCCCATTCTTTTTCCCTCTTGCCTAGCAGTTACATTTGGGTTCTCAAGGCCAGTCTGTCTTTAACCATTTATATGACCAAGACCTCAGTTTTCTTAACAATAAACGAGGGAAATAAAATGTGAGAATTGAACTAGATAATCTCCAAGATTACCTCTGTTGTTGGGATGGTTTCATATGGTGCTCATATCACACTACCTGGTGAGACATGTGGGTGTCTTATATGTGACTTGAGGGTAATCTGAGGTAACACAGCTGTTCAAATTCATTCAGATAAGTAAGTTAGTGATAGACTTGTTCCTATAACTCAAGTTACTCAGTTCTCGGTATAGTACCCATTTTCAGTTATTAAAAGTATGCTTTTAAAAGTCTTGGCTTGATTGGAATTCAAGAATGATATCCTAAAGGAACAAACTAAAAAGAGCTGAATTTCCATCATTTGGTTACTTTTGGTCATTTTACAAGGCTGATTATGCCTTAATTTTGGAGGGTCTTGGCAATAACCTCAAGATAAGCAAAGTCTATGTACTATTTTGATCTTCTGAATTGCATAAAAGTTTGAACACTAGAGATTTGTCAGTCTGTTTTTTCCTATAGGCGTAGATGGAAACAAGGACTTAGAATGTTGTCTAAATACTTTTATTTAATACACAGCTTCTAAATAGATGATAGTAAGCCTATTAATATAATTACCAGCAGACCTTTGATACCCATTTTAATTTTAAATTTCATTTAAAATTGCAAAAGGGAGATGCCAAAAAATGTGTATTATTATCAACATAAATTAAATTACATGTTGGTATACCACCTGTTCATTTTTTTCCCCAGCTATATTGAGGTATAATTGACAAGAGTTGTATATATTTAAGGTGTACAACTTGATGTTTTGATATACATAAAAGTGTGAAATAATTGCCATAATCAAGATAATTAACATATCCACCACCTAACAGTTTTCAGTTTTCTTTTGTGTGTGTGGTGAGAGCACTTAAGATCTACCTTCTTAACAAATTTCAAGTATATAATACAATATTATTAGCTATGACCTATGTTATACATCTATTTCCAGAACATACTCATCTTGCATAACTGAAATTTTGTACCCTCTGACCAACATCATGTCAAATATATTTAATTTTTTAAAATGTCATTTGTAGGACTTTTCCCATAACTGAATGGTTGTTTATAGGCGTATTAATCTCTTAGAGTTGTGGGGTTTTAATCATAGTAATTCAGAGGAGTGCAATCTGTTAATAAAAACAATTTTTTCTGTAAAAGCAAGTACTGTTATTTAGTATTGGAGAAAATAAAGTCCAAAATACTCAGTTGTACATAGTTCTTCAGTAGGTGATCTAGTAAGACATATCAATCTACTATGTAGTACTTGGTATAAAAGAAACATTATTGTAATTATGTATTAAAACACCAGAAAAACACCTTTTTATAAAAGAATTTAATATATAGTTTTTTTTGTTTTGTTTTTTAAGATTTTATTGGGGAATCGGGGAAGGGGAACAGACAAGTTGCTGTCCTTTTGTTCTTCAGTCTAGTTGTGGAGGACANGGCTCTTCCCCGGTGAGGCAGCCGCTCGCCTGCCATTGGATGTCTGCTCACGCTGGCTGCCTGCCACTCAACGGTAGCCTACTGCAGCCTATGCCATCTCAGGCGGCTCACGGCAGCCGAGCTCCAGGTCGAGCTGTTGTTCACCATCTTAGCTATAGAGGGCGCAGTGTCACTGGCCCATGTGGGATCCGAACCGGGACCCTGCTGTTCAGAGCTGGTGTCCCAGCCAACTCCCAACCAACGTGCCATTCCGCTGGCCCGAAAGTTACACTTTAATGTTGCTAAAGATAATGTCTGAGTTCTATCTTAAATAAGGTGATATAAGCACTAAAGTACTAAAGTGAGTTCTGCCTTAACAGGAACAACCAGGAAGCTATATGAGAAAAAGCTGTTGAAACTGAGGGAACAAGGAACAGAATCAAGATCTTCTACTCCTTTGCCAACAATTTCTTCTTCAGCAGAAAATACAAGACAGAATGGAAGTAATGACTCTGACAGATACAGTGACAATGAGGAAGGTAAAATTTTAAATGATGTTAATTAAATATATGTGATTTTTTTTTTCAGAATCATAAGATATAGTAACCATGAAGAAGACAAAATTTAAAATAATATTACCAAGATATATGTAGTTTTTGTTCATATCATTAGAGTAATTCTCCAAGTAATTTGATTTATAAATACCTTTTGTTGAGAATTCTAAGAAACAGAAAAGTACAAATGTCTAATTTTCTGTCACCTAAAATTAACATCTACCTTTATCTTTTTTCTTCAAATATCATTTTTCTAAGAGAATAAAGTATTACGAATAAACACAAAGTGCCCCCACTTACCTCTTTCCAAGCATCATCTCCATAGAAACAACCATGTCATTAGTTGGGTGATTATTGTTTTATCCTATTTTAAAATATTTTTTCTTATGCATTTATCTAATACATGGTATTATTTTGTACTTTAAAAAGATCTATATAAATAATATGCTAAATTTGTCACTTTATTATCGAGATCTTATTGATATATTACATCTTTTTTATTCCTTGTAAGTAATATATAGCAGTAGTATTTATATATGGCACGTTTTGTCTGTTCGCTGTTGATAGGCATTGAAATTTATAGTTTTCGTTGGAAAATATGATTTCAGGGCAACTTGAAAGCAAATATTTTGACATTTTAGTGGACTATTTTAAGAAAATTTGACCGTGATATTTAAATATTTTAAAAAATAGTACAAGAAATAAATAACCTTTTAAAATTTATTTTAAGAAAAAGTTGGTATTTATAAATGTTTAATTCATTTGAAATGTTTATTAATTTCATGAATTTAATTTGACCCAAATTGCTTATATCTCCGTAAGCATTGTCTGCCAGAGCACAGTCTGTCAGATTGGTTTTTCAGAATATGATATATAGTCTTTTCCTTCAACAGCACTATGTTAGCAAGGAGGCAAAGAATAAAATCAGCTTAAACACAAGTAATGCTTAAACTTCCTGCCTCTTTTGCCTCTACAGGAAAGAAGAAAGAACACAAGAAAGTGAAGTCCACTAGGGATTTTGTTCCTTTTTCTGAACTTCCAACTACTCCCTCTGGTGGATTTTTTCAGGGTATTTCTTTTCCTGACATCTCCCCCCGTCCTCCTTTGGGCAGGACTGAACTACAGGCAGCTAAGAGAGTACATACATCTAAGGGAGACTCACCTAGGGAACCTCTTATTGCCACAACATTGCCTGGCAGGGAACAGATGCAGAAGTTAGCCTCTGGAGGGAATCGGTTTATTTCCTCCAAGTCTAGCCATGATAGGTGTTTAGAGAAAAGTTCTTCGACGTCTTCTCAGCATGAACTCACTGCCCTGTTGGCCTCTGCTGCAGCTTCTCCTTCACTGATTAAAGAAACCACCACTACTTGCTATAAAGACGTAGTAGAAAATATTTACTCTGGAGAGAAAAGTGGAATTCAACCAGTATGTCCTGAGAGGTCCCAGGGTTCAGATCAGTCGATTCTCTCCAGTAAAAGGAAAACACTAGAAGAGTCTGAGAGATCACAAGTAATTTCTCCACCACTTGCTCAGGCAATCAGAGATTATGTCAATTCTCTGTTGGTCCAGGGTGGGGTAGGTAGTTTGCCTGGGACTTCTAACTCTACATCCCCACTGGATGTAGAAAACATATGGAAGAGAATTGATCAGTCTAATTTTCAAGAAACTAAATCCCCGTCTCCTCCACAAAAATTCCCTAAAGTAGGTAAAAAGTCAGTGGAGGAAAAGGATTCGGGTTCCTCTGTGGCATTTCAAAATACACGTGGATCTGAATTGATGTCTTCTTTTGCCAAAACTGTTGTCTCTCACTCACTTGCTACCTTAGGCATAGAAGGGTCTAAGCAATCACAGCATGGTATAACAGATGCCCCAGAACTATCTTTTCCTATCCATGGATCTATTTTAGAAGTAATTAAAGAGGAGTGGCAGCAAATTGATAGGCAGCTGCCTTCATTGGCATGCAAGTATCCAGTTGCTTCCAAAGAGGCAACACAGATATTATCAGTTCCAAAAGTAGATGATGAAATCCTGGGGTTTATTTCTGAAGCCACTCCACCAGCAGATATTCAGGCAGCTTCCACTGATAAACAGTTGGACTTAGCACTTTGTAGAGCATATGAAGCTGCAGCATCAGCATTGCAGATTGCAACCCATACCGCCTTTGTAGCTCGGGCTATGCAGGCAGACATTAGTCAGGCTGCACAGATTCTTAGCTCAGATCCTAGTCATGTGCACCAAGCCCTTGGGATTCTGAGCAAAACACATGATGCAGCCTCATTTGTTTGTGATGCTGCCTTTGATGAAGTAAAGATGGCTGCCCAAACCATGGGATCTTCCACTTTAGGTCGCCGTTATCTCTGGCTGAAGGGCTGCAAAATTAATCCAGCTTCTAAGAATAAGCTGGCTGTGACTCCCTTTAAAGGTGGAACATTATTTGGAGGAGAAGTTTACAAAGTAGTTAAAAAGCGTGGAAACAAACACTAATAAAATTAAAGATAAAGATCTATCTTTGACATGGGGAACTTAGCAGATTTTCTAGGCATTTCAAGTACTTTTTTTCCCCCAAATTTTAGGGTCTTTTTAGTCTCCAGATGGGGCTTTTATCCATCAAGTTATAGTTTATAAGTAGTTGCTTACATAGAACTACCCCTTTTTTTGAAGTTGCACAGATAGAAAGCCTGATACAAATAATTTAAAGCTTTCTAGATCACATTTTTATCTCAAATTGTTCACTCTTTCCTGTTTTACATAAGATTTTACAACTCTTGACAACTAAGAAAATACCATTTACTAGATTATATGTAGAGTCTTCTGGTCTAAATATCTTTTCACTTTCTAGAACTTCTCTATATTTTTCTTTTATGTTCTTGCTTTTGTTTTTTACTTATGTCTTCAGTATCATTCATAATATTCTAGATCATTGCAACTCAGTGTCAGTCTACAGACTGTTACTGATCCACAGTTAAGATAAGCGCACACCAGAATTTTAATCTAGAGACCCTTTCTAGATCAATGACAAGGTTTAGTTTTGTGGTAAAATTTTATCGGTAGAGAAAACTGCTAGTTTATATTCTGTTGTAAGTGCCTCATTTCTTCATGGACTGGTAGCAAACAGTTTGTGGACCATTATTTGAGAAATACTGCTCCAGACCATAATATTCAAGGATAGTACATTCTCACCATCACTGTAGTTTGTCAGATGACCTAGACACTGGAAATATGGGGCTTTTTTTTTTAAGTAACACTTTCAAGGTATATTGTCATTCATAGACTTAGTCAAAATTCTAAAAGCAAATTTAAGTTAGTTTTTTTAAAGTCATAAGAAATCATACTATATCCCAGTGTCTGTGTGTCTATATAAAACAGTATATTATCCTGTGTTTTCATTTCTATGATTGTAAGATGAGTCTAATTGTAGAGGCATTTGATAATCAAATTTCTTTGTATTTTTATGGAAATAGTAGTAGTAAATATAAGCAAAATATGCTCCCTTCAGTACTTTTAGCCATATTCTTAGACTATACATGTCCATCTTTGCAGCTTTCTGGGAGTAATTTTGTTTGTTATTTGTCTTGTGAAATGTACATGTATACATGTACCTACTAAGTGCTATGTGATTTTAAAATGTATTACTGTAGAATGCTTCTGCAAATTCAATAAAGTTGTTAAATTTGAACAGTTTTGTGTGGTCTCCAGAAACATGTTGTATGTGTGTTTTATTCTTGGAGTTGCAACAAGTTAGATATTTGTGGATGAACATCCCTTTATCATTTCATCATTGAAACTCACTTGACATTTCAATGGTATAGTTGAAAATACTGTAAATATTGTTCTTTATTCTCTTGGAGCACCGTGTTTTTATTGGCTATTGGAATTTTAAAATATTAGGAAGAATTAATCTAACCAGATACCTTATTTGTTTAAATCAGTTTCTGCTCAATTACTGTTGGGTTCGTAAGATGCTTTCTAATTCTTAGAATCTGAGTTAACAAAGCTTAACATTTTATAATGCTGAGGATTGTCCCAAACATAGATATAATGATAGATTTATTAATAGGAGCACTGGGAGGTGGGGTTGACACCGTAATCCTAAGTAAAGGTTGAACTATTTGAATATCATGGTAAAAATTACTATTTATTTTGGGGAAGCTTACAAGTAGATCCTGGACTGACCAGTATTAAGAGTAGATAGTTATCAAGACACATGACTATCTTGACTACTTTTTAGTATAACTGCATTGAATTCATGCAAAACTAAGCTTTTATTTAAGAATTGACTCCATTTCTGTCTCTGATAAGTAGTCTAAAAGTTTTGATAACAGGTTTTAGAATAACAGCTGACACTAATTTTGCTATACAATGATAAATGGCCACAAAAATATGGAAGTTAACTAAAATTTATATCAGTCTTTTCATATATCCAGCTCTTTAAATGGTGATAGAATCAAGACTAGGGGAATGGAATTTTGAAGCCTATAAAAAGATATATATATTTGAGTTAGGTTAATAACCATCATAGTGATATGCTAAGTAATACATATGCACTGGCTTCTCTTCAAGGAGATGTTATCTTACTTGTACTGTGGGAGGGAGAAGAGAAGTAGCCTGTGATTTGTTGTACTTCTCTGCCAACAAGATTCCTCTTTACCTCAACTGTACCCAGGTTTTTTAGAATCACATCAAAAAAGAAGGGAGGAGAGACTTAAACTGACTTATTAATGTCATTGCACTAACATTGTTATAAGCTTGGTACCATATAGGTTTTTCCCCATAAAATTCCCTATAGCTTTTTCCTTTTCATATTCCAAATTTTAATTTAACAACTAATTTGTACTGTATGGACAAAAGAATGGTAACAACTGTATATTTTAATATTCTCTCCCCACATCTAAACGTTTTTTTAGTGAAAAGTCTCCATGGGAACAGTTTGAATTCACTTTTATGTTTCAGGCTATTCGTCTTAGAAAAAGGAAAGGAAAATAAATAGGAAGTAATGATGAGATTAAAGAGTGGGGGAGATAAATAGAAAGGGAATAAAATAATGGGAAATAAAAATTTTAAAGATAAATTGTGGTTAAACAGTTTTGGTCTATTGAGGTAACACCAGTAGACAAAATTGTTTTACATATTAACGTGCCTAAAACCAACATTCCAAAATAATGTTAAGATGATTATAGTTTATTGTATGTTTCAAAGAGTAATGGTTTCTCCAATGTTATTTGCAGACCCTAAAATAGAGCTCAAGCTTGAGAAGAGAGAACCACTAAAGGGCAGAGCAAAGACTTCAGTAACACTCAAGCAAAGAAGAGTTGAGCAAAATCAGGTATCTTTAGTTTTATGATCACTGTATTTAGGTATAAGTAACCTCCAGACAACACTAATTTGCCTGTGTCCTAACCTTTGGTTAATAGTTGACACCCAGATTGCAGCACACTCAATAAAGTGTTCATTTCATTGTTCATTAAATGGCATTAGAAATCTAAACTTTGTGTTAAGTCTTGTCAGTAGTGTAGCCGTGCAAAAGTGTTTAATGTCTCATTTGTGTTTGATTCTGTGCTACGCATAGTTCCAAGCCAGTCATCCTGCTTTTTGAGAAACGTATTTTTTTATCATATATTTTTTTTATTTTTATTTTTTAATTACAGCTAACATTCAATATTATATTAGTTTCAGGTGTACAGCATAGTGGTTAGACATTTATACAAGTATAATTTACAAAGGGATCTCTCCTATATAAGTCTAGTATCCACCTGGCACCATACATAGTTATTAAAATATTATTGACTGTATTCCCTATGCTTTGTTTTACATCCCCATGACTATTTTGACTACCAATTTGTACTTCTTAATCCCTTCACCGTTTTCATCCAGCGTCCAACCCTTTTCCATCTGGCAACCATCAGTTTGTTCTCTGGATCTATGAGTCTGTTTCTGTTTTGTTTGTTCGTTTGTTTCGTTCTTTAGATTCCTCATAAATGAAATCATATGGTGTTTGTCTTTCTAAGAGAAGTATTTTGAAAGGTGGAAATGCCTGTGCAACACTGATACAATTTTTTTAAAAGATGGGAAGGGTGTTATATTTGTGTCTTTTCTGGATTTCTGACTTTGCTTTTACTTTTGCCTGTCTTCTGTGACTTTTCCCTCAACTCTGGAGCTAGCCTAATCCTAAGACTACACTGTTTTCTTTCCTTATTCCTGATGAAAATTTACTTTTTTTATTGTGGGCGAGGCAAGATGCAGTTAATACAGAAACTAGAAAAATCTTGTGAAGGACACTGAAATAGATAAGCATGGAGAATTTTGGCCCAGAGTGTGAAGGTAAGATGGTATAGTGCTAGCAAGAATGCATAACTGGTCAGATAATAGGTTAAAAGAAGGGAAGAAGGATGGTAGGAAAGGTGGTTTCAGGGGTAATGGAGTTGAGGAATCTAAACTGAGAGACAGGATAGATAGTCAAAGAAGAGTAGATTTAGGAGACGATAGGCAGAATTAGACAATGGCTTTATTGTACAAAATTGAAAACATTAGAAAAGTGGAGGAAAGAGTTTAATGACCTTCTAGTCATAGAGCCTCAACAGTTGTCAACATTTTGCCAGTTTTATTTCATTCTCACCTGCACCTTCCAGCTTTTTAAATTCCTTTTAGTTTTGTTTTCCTTTTCCTGGATTATATTAAAGCAAATCTCTAACGTTCATTTCATACATTAAAATGTCAGTATTTCCATATATATTTCTAAAAGATAGGAGCTGTTTTTATACACACACATACAATGCTACTATCACACCTAATAAAATTAATAATTTTTCATGTCTGTGTTCAAAATCCTCCAGTTTCAGAAATGTCCCTTATGATTAAATTATTCAAGTCAAGTCAGGATCCAAACTTCACATATTATTTGTTTTATTTTAAAGTTGTTTTTTTTTTAACTTTATTGGGGAACAGTGTTTTTCCCAGGACCCATCAGCTCTAAGTCAAGTTGTCTTAGTTGTGGAGAGCGCAGCTCAGCTCAGCTCCAAGTCCAGTCGCCATTTTCAATCTAGTTGCACGGGGCGCAGGCCACCATCCCATGTGGGAATTGAACCGGCAGCCTTCTTCTTAAGAGCACTGTGCTCTAACCAACTGAGCCACCTGGCCGCCCCACATATTTGTTTGATATTGTTTTGTTTTATCTCTTAACTCTGTAGCTTTTTCTGGTATAATTGTTTCCTCTCCACTTATTTGGTAAAGAAACCAGGTCAGTTTGCTACAGAATTGCCCACATTCTGGGTTTGGCAGATGGTTTCTTCAAGTGTCATTAATTTGCTCTTCTAGACCCTGCATTTCCTGTCGTCTGGGAGCTAGACTTATAGCAGGGCTATACAGTAGACCTTTCTGTGATGATCGAAGTGTATCTGCTGTCCATTATGGTAGCCACTAGCCACATGTGGGTATTGAATACTTGGAATGTGGCTAGTGTGGCTGAGAAACTAAAATTTTAATTTTATTTAACTTAAATTTAAATTGCCACGTGTGGCTAGTAGCTACCACATTGGACCGCACAGATTAGAGGGTTGGTTAGATTCAAGTTCAGTTTCTTTGACAAGAATGTTTCATAATGGTGTTATGGCCTTCATATTGCATCATTTCAGGAGGCACATGATGTCCTTTTGGTGATGCTAAAATTACTTAATAATGGGCTCAAATGTTGAAAGCCTAATCCATCCACTATAAAGTTCCACATACCCCTTTCATTTAATGGTTATGACAACCGTTTATGATTATTGCCCAGATTCATTATTTCATTTGAGGTTTGTAAGATGGTGATTTTTCTCATCTCTCATTTCCTTTACCTTTATAACTGGAATTCTTTTATAAAGAACTTTCCCTCATGAACTGCTTAGTTACCTTGAAATAAAATTCATATAGGAAAGCCAGGATAAATGCTTGCTTCCACTTTTCAAATTAAAGTCACCTTTTTTTTTTTTTAAGATTTTATTGGGGAATTGGGGGAGGAGAACAGCATTGGGGAATCGGGGAAGGGGAACACGCAAGTTGCTGTCCTTTTTGTTCTTCAGTATAGTTGTGGAGGATGTCGCTTCACTGGCCCATGTTGGCATTATAATTGCGCTTTTCCCGGCTGAGGCACATAGGTCGCCGGCCACTGGTTGGCCGCTCACGGCAGCTCTTGGCAGCTCATGCTGGCTGCCTGTCACTCATGGTAGCTGACAGGAGCCCATGGCAGCTCCACTGCAGCCTACGCAGTCGTTGGCGAGTCATGGCAGCCCAGCTCAAGATCGAGCTGTTGTTCACCATCTTAGCTGTAGAGGGTGCAGCGTCACTGGCCCAAATGTGGGATATGAACCGGGGCCCTGCTGCTCAGAGCTGGCGTCCCAAGCCAATTCTTAACCAACGTGCCACTCGGGTGGCCTTAAAGTCACTTTTAAAAGTGATCAGTAAGTTTTTTTTACTGGCATGGTTTTTATATATTTGATTTATGGTCAATTGCAGTCATTTTTTTTTTCATGTTCAAACTGTGCCATCATCACTAGCCATTGGGAATTACTGAGTTGGTTCTTCTATCCTTTTATTGACCCCATTTGTCTTGTTTTCTGGCTCAGTAAAATGACCCATGCTCATTAATATTTCCTGCCTGTTATCCATTTTTCTAAAGAACTCTAATCCTTGTAATAGAAAATATTGTTTGGAGGATACCTACAATCTGGATTCTAGGGTGTTCAATCCTACTGGGTTGTCATTGCTTCTAGGCCCTTTCAGTAAAGTAGAGCTAGAGTTACATATTTTTTAGAAAGAGAAAATAAATCACGAATTCATCAAATTTATGAATTCAGGCCTATCTAACTTCTGTTATATTTTGTATCTCTTCTCTCTTATGCTGAGTATCTTAAAGTCACTTGAGATATTTTTTCTTATTTATTTTTTTTATTTATTGAGGACATATATGTGGTTTTATTTAGGTAAAACAGGTAATTTCAGAAACCTGGTTTCTATCTTTGTTCCTTCCATCCACCGGTAATAATTTTTATTTAGTTTTGGTTTATATTTTGTTTTTTTTAAATGTAAGTAAATACATAGATTTATATATTATGTATGCTCCCCTCTTTACATAAAAGGCAGCATACTTTGTATGTTTCTTTCTGTTTTTATCTAAACACATAGCCTAGAGTTCACGTCATGTCAGAATATAGTACAGCCATCTTCCTCATTGCTTTGTACCACTGCGTGATAGTGCATTTTATGGATGTACTGTAAATTGTCCTGCCACTTTCTTTTTGGTGAATAATTGGATTATTTTCTGTTACATGCTAGCTTGAATAATGCAAAGATGAACCAATGAATAGCCTTCTACATGTGTCATGTAATATTTTAACCAATTTATCTTTGGGAAATCTAGAAGTGAAAATGCTGGGTAATTTTGCTAGATGTTACCAAATTCCCCTGTGTAATACTCGTAGTTGAAGCATTTTGCATTCCCACCAGCAATGTATGAGTATCTCTAATGGAGTAATATGGCCCTGCTTTTAAAAAAATTAATATGAATAATGATATTGCTCACGTTTTACCTAAATTGATAGTTCTTTAGAATAAGGTGGGTTTTAATTAACCTCTTTCTTTTCGTAACCTAGTTTTGTGTAAATTTTTTGTTTATAGCTTGTATTTTTACTCACGGGGATTTATAGCCTCCTTTGCTAGCTCAGCTTCTGCATTGTTATGTGCCTCAACTGCCTCATGTTTCCTGAGTAACTTTTTACCTGATAGCTTATCAAAAGACATTGTGAGAAGGTTTTTGTTTTTTCCCCCTGTTGTCAATGATAAATTCAGGACTTTTATAGAACGTTTTTATAGATGATCCTCCAATTCTTATTTTGGATTTTGGCCACACATATAGTAGTCACATTACTAATTTTACATAGCAATGCGTTTCTTTTCAATCAGTAATTGTTTGGTCCATCTTACTAAGTAGTTATAAAATGAAATTATAATTTTATTATTTTTGTATTTATATTTTTTTCTCAAAGTCACTTGTTCATAGTGGATTCTGATAGAAAAAAAATTTTGTATCTTCAGAATATCTTTTCTGATGTGTGAAATGTTGTCAGCTTACTGTGAAGATGATTAATTCTAAATTAAGTAATGAAAATAAAGAACTAATAAAATTGGTTGATAGTCCTCAACTAAAGAATTTAATAAACCTGAACAAAAGAAAATATAAATGACTTAT